AAAAAAATCAACAAATGGAACTATATCAAATTAAAAGGGTTTTAAATGGAAAAAAAAACTAGAGAAAAACTTAGACACCCTTCTAAATGGGAGACGATATTTGCACATCAGAAGTGCTTCTCCCAAAGACATTAAAGCATTCACACAGCTAACAACAGCAACTACAAAAGCACACAAAAACCCGTTAAAGAAATGGAGGATGGAATGGATAGACACTGCTCCGGGGAACACATACAGATGGCCAGTAGACATATGAAAAACTGTCCACTGCTACTTATCAGGAAAATGAGATAATACGTCAAAGAAGTTAAAACTCCATCTATCAAAATAAAGAAAACTGGAAACAACTATAGTTCGTCATGATATGGAGAAAGAGAATTCCAACTTCTGACTGTTGGGGGAATATTTTCTGGTTCAAACTATATTTACATACTCAGAAATTACTGCTGCCTCCGCACTCAGGAATCACTGCTGGTAGTGTTCAGGCAACCATATGGGATGTCTGGGATCAAGCCAAGGTGGGATGGGAAGTGCGCTACCCATTATGCTATCTCTCTGGCCCCCTTACTGGTCCCTTCCTACCCCCATGGTTTAGAGGGAGAATAATTTGGAGTATGTGAGTCCGATTATCAAAGTCAGGTAAAAGTTTGCAACAAAGGAAGAAAAATGACAATAATGACAAAAAATGTTATTTAGAGAAACAAAAGGGCCACTTATATTTTTGTTTAATTTGTTTAAATTTTTTAAAAATTTTTATTAGTGAAACACCATGAGGTACAGTTGTAGACTTACAAATTTTTGTGCTTGGGTTTCAGGTATACAATAATCGCGTACCCATCCCTCCACCAGTGTCCATTCTCCACCAACACTAATCCCAGTATTTCTCACTTATTTTTTAGTCATGTGACAGATTGACCAAGAATGTGAGTATTTTAAGTTTAGATGTTTATTTGACAATATAAAGTGATTCCAAATTTTCCCCAGAGTTATAAAGAGAATGACCACATGGTGGTGCTGTTACCAAATCATTTCAAATGAACTTACTCTCTTGTCATTGAAGAATGCAAAAGGAAAAAGTAGTTTTACTAACTAACAGGAAATAAGATAGAAATGTCCAATGGGATCAGCTAGTCTGCTTGGTCTGCTTATTAAAGGACCAAGGTAAAACGTAAAATATATTGCCATATATTTATAAGGCAGGCAGAAGAAAAAAATCTGCATCGTGGTCAATATGATCACAGATTTAGAAATAAAATAATAATATAGTAAGATTTGTTAATACAACAGCATTTTACTTAATGTAAGTAAATATTAACTCCTTTGAGCATTTTAAATTTAAAACCAGATGATGTTATTTATTTAATTTATCATGAATATTTTTGTAAAAAGTTATTCAGAACTGTAGGGAAAATTATGTAAATCATGACATTTTTCTTTCACATAAAAGTACTCACCCACTGCTTTAATTGCTAAATTTCTTAATCAGTATCAAGAACACCACTATAATGCTATTAATACATTTATATTTACATTTTCAATTTGATTGCCTTTCTTTTCCCTTTAAATAAATTATTTTTTTATTATCACTTATTCGCAAGGAAAATTAGCTCAGTATTATTTTACTCAGATTTTTATATAACAATATAATTGCGATCATTAAATAAATCTTATTTTCACATTTCTAATGTAATACCCCTTGTAACTTTTAAGTAGGATACATTAATTTAAATTTTATTAAACTATTTTTGTTCATGTTTTTAAGTTATTAGTATTAAGATATACATATCTACTTACTTACATACCCTTTATTATAACAAAACATAAATATAGAATAAGTATTTTTGTGCATTATTTAAAGACCAATACCTTGTGTTCCGGGGAGATGTATAAAATTTCATAATGTTATTTCAAATTCAAAGTGACACTAAGTAGTGGCACTGGGTCACAATGCTCCACTTTAGACATTCCAGTCACAGAGAAAGAGAGTGGAATGTCATAAACAGGAATTAAAACCAATTTTGGAAAGAAAGCACTAATGAGAATTTGTGCTTCAGAGAATATTAAGCATTTTTGTTTATTTTGCAGCGTATTTAAAAAGGAGGAATGGAAAACTCCTGGCTGGAGAAATAGAACAATGGGTAAGGCATTTGCCAGCGGGTGGCTCACTGGTCCAGTGCTCAATCACATAATAGACTTTGGTCCTCCAAGCACCAGCAGGAGCCCAAAGAGCAGAATGAGGAGCAAGTATCTTCACATGGCTGGGAGAAAAACCAAACCAAACCAAACAGGAAGGAAGCAAGGAAGCAAGGGAAGAAGGGCAGGATAAAGGTAGGGTGGGAGGGAGGGTAGAAGAAGGGAGGGAGAAAGTAAAGAAGGAATAAAGGAAAGAAGAAAGGAAGGAAGAGAAGGGAAAGAGGAAGGGAGGAAGGAGTGGAGGGAGGAAGGGAGGGAGAAGGAAGGGAGGGAAAGTGGGAATGAGGGAGGTTGAAGAGAGGGAAAAGAGGAGGGAGGAAGGGAAAGAAAGGAAGAAAGAAGGAAGGAGAAAAGGAAGGAAGCAAGGAAGGAAGGAAGGAAGGAAGAAGGAAGGAAGAAGGAAAGAAAGAAAAAAGAAGGAAGGAAGGAAGGAAGGAAGGAAGGAAGGAAGGAAGGAAGGAAGGAAGGATGGAAGGAAGGAGGAAAAAAGAAAGAAGAAAGAAAGAAAGAAAGAAAGAAAGAAAGAAAGAAAGAAAGAGAGAAGAAAGACTGGCAATAAATGACATGGTGCTCTAATCTTAGTCAAATTATATCCAATAAATCATATCCACTAAATTAAAAAATAGTGGATACTTAGCAGATATTCACTCTCAAGTGTAGAATATATATATTTTTGGACATTCAAATGCATTTAGGATACCTAACTGTATAAATTTGATTTCAAAACAATATGTTTCCTGCAATTCTATATGGAAATACTGAAGGGAAAATTTTTCAAAATTCAATATAAAGATTAATATAGTAATTAAGCACTGTTGTTGATGTTTACACACTTATGAATTCTTCTATACTAAAAGTCGTAGATTTCAGAGAATTTACTGTCTAGATACAATAGACATAGTTCATTCATCTTGTCTTCACTTTTGACCATAACATGAAAGAGCCACAATTATTTCTGTTAAGTTTTGCATAGTTTTAATTTAAATGACTATTTTCCAATTTTGCTATTTTTAGGCAATGACGAATTATTGGGGATGCTTTCTGAGTGGGCTTGGACCACTCTCCTGGACATACTGAAAACTGCAGTCTGCGCTGATGCTTTGTCCTTGGTGGATTAAATGGTCCAGCTTGGAGAGCAACAATTGGTGTTACCCGAGTCACACTCTTAGAACTTGTAGATCATCAGGCTATACCCAGCAGGAAGTTCTGAACACAACCGGGTGTAGCCCAAAACTTTTCCAGAAAAAAGAAAGAGCAAGACCTTATGAATACAAGCCAGGAGCACTACTGCCATGCTCCCTAAGAGACTCAGTCTGACAGTTTCAGTCACATCATCTATGTATGGTGAGTCATTCGTAGACACTAGCACATCATCAAAATATATGGATTTAAAAATTTTGTGGCTTCAAAATCTGGCCTCAAGATTATTATAAAAATTTGATTTAAAACACATATTCTGCGAGTCACAGTTTTCTAACAGGCTAGATTAGCAGTAGGCATTGCCTTTGGCAGTTTCTTATTTATAGATTTAAACCAAATCTACTAGAGAGGAATTTTATTAAAATGATTAGATATAAGTGACCAGATAATCTGAATGTTTTGAAAAATCTCGTTTATTTTTTCCCTTTAAAGTCTATTCAAAACACCACCATTTATCACAACCTCCTTTGCTCCTAATATGATTCATATCCGTAGCAGTTTCTTGCATTATCTTCTGATTCTCTTAACTGATTTGTTTTTGTTTATTTCTGTGCATCTGGGGAGCACACCTAGTGATCTCAGAAAACACTACTGGCTCTGCACTCAGGAATCACTGCTGGTCGTGTATAGGGGCCCTTAGGGGATGCCTGGGAACAAACCAGGGTGACAAGCAAGTACTCTACCCATTAGGCTATCTCTCTGATCCCCTTACTGATCTGTTCCTATCCTCATTTCCTAGTCACCATTCTCTTTAGATTTGTCCACATATTCTGGCTTTATAAGAATAAAGGCAATCCTGATGGGATGCCATTCTGGTGTCTTGTATCAGAGTCTAGTGTAAGTACTTGTCCCAAGCTACTACACCCTCCAGAGTGGCTTGCTAACATATCTAGATTTCCTCTCTGACAGAGTCACCCCACTGTGCTGGGACCCCCTTGCGCTTGGCCAGTGTGCTCCCACATTAGAGATATAGCAATGACTGGACATTTCAATCACCCATATCACATAGACAACATTATGCATCATCTCTTTATCTATCTCTGTTGAGATTCACCCTAAGATAAAATCAGTTCTGATCTCACTCTTGTCACTGCAGTTTACAAGTTGTTCATGGTGATTTGTTACAGGCATTCAATATTCTGACACCAGTTCCACCACCATTACACCTTCCCTCTTCACCATTGTCTACAATTTTCCCAGCAACCCCTTAAGCCTGACCCCAGATGAGGCCTTCAGTAATTTCTTTAATATTGCTTGTTATAAATAATTTGCTAACAGAATGATCAAAAATGTTTCCTTAGAAGAAAGGTAATGAAGATCTTTCTTTAGATCCATTAGGTCCTTGTTTAAGAGATTATTAGATGCTGTTACAGGTAACACAAATTATTCCTCTTAAAAGTTTGTAGGGACTGGAGCAATAGCACAGCGGGTAGGGCGTTTGCCTTGCATGCACCCAACATGGCCAAGACAGGTTCGATTCCCAGCATCCCATATCCTCCCCCGAGCACCGCCAGGAGTGATTCCCGAGTGTATGAGCCAGGAGTAACCCCTGAGCATCGCCGGCTGTGACCCAAAAAGCAAAAAAAAAAAAAAGTTTGTAAGTGTACCTTTTTCAACTTGATGACTCCTTCTTGCGTATCCTCATCAGTCACGATATCAAACAAATTTCCTCCATCTCCTGGAACAATATTGTATTCGATTTCTGCATTCTGTCCAAAATCAGGATCCACAGCTCTTATTCTCCCAATTGCTGAGCCAACTGGAGAGGACTCAGGGACTTTCAGGTGGAAGATGCCTGATAAGATATATATGCACATCAGAGTGGTTAGTATGTAGGAGGGCTACAAACCTGATTGTGTGTGTTTCTGTGTGTGTGTGTGTGCGGTGTATGTGTATGTGCAATTTAAAACATACTCATACGAATTCAAAAAGAGAACTTGTCAAATTAAGGATTATTATTAGGAATAATCATTTTACTTTTCACTTCAGCAGGTCCTACTCTAGAATTTTAAGTGGGTTTTATTAAAAGCACTACGTGTACAACCAAAATTACTATGGAGAATGTTTTAGATACTAAATCATCAGTGTACCTAATACGAAATGTAAAGATAGGTGATCAGTGGAATTTGCTACTACAAAAGAATCTGGATACATGGAAAAGAATAAAAGCAGATATAAATAATACTTATTATAAATTAAATAGTTTTAATCAAATAATACACACATAAATTCATATATGGACTATTCACTGAACAAATATAAAGCATTAAGTTGGAAAAAGTCAACAATAAAATAATCGCTTACAATTAGAAAAACTCAATAATAATGTATTATATATTTTAACTTAGCAAGGTTTTATTGAATTTTGTGCTAGGTATTATTACACACTCTTAAAATCAGCAAATAATTTCGATTCCCCCAACATATGAGCTACAAAGACATGTTTATTTCTTTACCACCAGGTGGAGCACCTATATTACTGTAAGTTTGATGATCAGAAAAATGTAGAAATATTCCTGTTGATATCAATTAACCAAAATCAAGAAAAAATGCAGCATGCCTTAAAATTAAAACTAAGCATCACTTAAACAAGTTTTAGATATGACATATATAAAATATAAATTATATTTTATATTTTTAAATATATAATCAGATTATTTTACTGATGTCAAGTAAAAATATTAATAAATAAAAGTAGCAGTTTGTTCAGGTGAAAATAAAGGAAAGAAATAAAACAGGATGAGATATAAGTTCAAAATCTGGATAATATACAAATATAAAAAGCTCAAATTTTGATATTAATTCTAATCTTTTAACTTGTAGAGACAGATTTGAATTGGCTTTCTTTTGAGTAATGGTAATAATGCAGTTCATTTACATTGTACTTATTTTCATATTTACAGAAATTAAATTAGGTAGAATTTCTTGTATTTATTTTGAACACAGAAATACATTAAAAAGTGACATCATAATATTAAAATTATGGGTTTCAAACGCGTGCAGAAAAAAATTACTTTAGTAGAGTTTATGCCTGTTTCAGTCAGCTTAATTAGTGGCGGAATAAGTAGCAGTACTCCTACTTTGGGCTGGAGCGATAGCACAGGGGTTGGGCATTTGCCTTGCATGCAGCCAGCCAGGCCAAGCCGGGTTCGATTCCTCCGCCCCTCTCGGAGAGTCCGGCAAGCTACCGTGCAGGCTCGCCTGCACGGCAAAGCCTGGCAAGCACCCGTGACGTATTCAATATGCCAAACACAGTAACAAAAAGTCTCAAAATGGAGATGTTACTGGGCCCGCTCGAGCAAATTGATGAACAACGGGAAGACAGTGATGGGACGGTGATGGGACTCCTACATTAAAAAAAGAAAAGAAAACTGACTTTATATTGTATATATTTTGTAAAATATTTTAATTTTAGAGTTCCTAAAGTATTTTCAATAGTTCTCAACTTTTATTAACTTTCTTTCACTATTTCTGGAAGTGTTAAAATTTTTTCCCATTCCTTCCTATAACAATATAAACTTCTATTCTGCTTGTACAATGTTTACATTTGCTAAATTTTTATTCAATGGCACATTTTTAGTCTCAAAAAGTATGATTAATTAAAATATGTTTGGTACCATATAAAAGCAAATTATGTTTTAGAGTGATTCAAAATAAAAGGTCTTTCTAAAAGAACAAATCTTAAGGCTAAGCAAGCAAATATATGCAAAATAAACCCTAGTAGCTATAGTGAAATATTATATGCACATTGCAAATTATTTTGGTTAAAAAATGTTAATTGGTGGCATCAGCAAACTGTAATTGGTTAGATTATTTTTCTTTATGCTTCATTTCCTAAACTCTTAACCCAATGATTATCATAAACAAACAATCAACACTTTCCAAACTTAAAGCAGAATTTAAATGATAGAATAAGAAAGTCACTGTCACTGTCACTGTCCTCCCGTTGTTCATCGATTTGCTCGAGCGGGCCCAGTAACGTCTCCATTGGAGACTTTGTTGTTACTGTGTTTGGCATATCGAATACATCACGGGTAGCTTGCCAGGCTCTGCCGTGTGGGCGAGATACTCTCGGTAGCTTGTCGGGCTCTCTGAGAGGGGCGGAGGAATCGAACTCGGGTTGGCCATGGTTGGCTGCGTGCAAGGCAAACGCCCTACCTGCTGTGCTATCACTCCAGTAAAGAGAAAAAATTAAAAATCTAAATTTACGCTGAGTACCTACTGTCCAGGTGAGGACATATAAAAGGAGAATTCCTCTGATTTCATATAGCCATGCATACATAAGAAGAACCAATTTTTGGAGCCTAATTTCTATACACAATGAGTATTTCACAATAGCTTTACTCAGCTAGATCTGTCTAAAAAAAATTCCCACGACTTAAACATATGAGAATGCTTGAATTCCTGTTTATTTGATGATTAAGTGATAATAAAGAAACACCACACATCTTCAATCTACTTTATAAACTGGTCCTGGTGGAATCCCATAGTATACTGATAAGTACTATGAAACATGAGAAACAACTTGAACTTTTATCCTGATCAAGAAAGAGATCCAAGTTGTAAATCCTTTCCTGATATTTAATTAACAAATGCGTGACTGTAAGTTTTGATATAGGTGGGAGACCTTAGAGAGTGAGATGTGAGCTAGGCAGGAAGTTGCCTAGTGTAATGGTTTTGAATTTCAAGCCTGTCCAGAAGTCATTGCAGTGTAGTGTCAGGTCACTGCAGTATTAGTGGTAAGGTATCTTAGCCATATGAAGGCAAACAGAACCTTTAGGAAAATACGCACAATATAACTTCCCAGTTTAGGTAACTTAGATAACCCCTGATTCATTTCATGGGAGAAAATCCAGGGCACACATTGAGTTTATAAGCTTGCTTTTCATTGGAAAAGCACAAATAAAAGAATCAAATATCATGGGAAATAATATATGGTTGTGATTACAAGGATTATATATTGAAAAGGAAACGTTTAGCCAGGATTCAAGTTCTCCAATATGAAAAGAATTTTTAAACCCCTGAAGGTAATATGAAGGGCAACACATGAGATCGGCAGTCTAGAAAAGAAAGTCCCGGTCTTGAAAGCTGAATACTGAGATATATTTGATGTTTTATAACAGGACATTTTATGAGGCCAATAACAATAAATGTGAAGATATCTATTCTCTGTAGGTCTTTGTCAATATGATACCAAGTGCTTTTGTTTGTTTGTTTGTTTGTTTTTATATAGCCAACGTACAGTGCACCGCAAATTTCCTGTATCTAAAGCCATTGGAAAAGTTGTCATAAACTGAATAGTGGCTTTGTAAAAAAAAAAAAAATGACTCAATAGCACTTAGTGACATTTACTCACCAAAACTGAGATACAATAGGAACAAAACAGTGATTCACCCCTTCATCTGTTTCTGTAGACTGAGCTTTAAGTGTACACAAATACAGAGAGCACTGAAGTCCCTGTTATTTATACAGCCGGCGGGCACTTTAGTATAGTGGAAGACACTCACATTCATTAAGACAAACGTTTCTCAATAAAATATTGCAGTAAGCAATAAAGTCTACAGAATATGGAACAAGTCAGAGAAACTCTGCATCAGTCATGTCAGATTGTTTAAGTTCTGTTGGTTTACTCCCAATGACTTGACATTTTATCATTTTTGTGAAACTCAGCAGCAATAAAACTGGGGTCATTCAGACTAATTCAAAACTGAAGTAATTTTCAGCTGTGCCTGTCATATTGCTTATGATTTACTACGCAATTACACGGCCATCATCTTCAAGGCATCCTAATTTTGATGCATATGAAAAACCTTAATGGTACTACCTGTTCAACACAGATTAAGAAATAGAACAGGTGACAAGAGATTGTCTGGAGTCAGTAGAAATATATGCTTATATATACATCAAATCCACACGCTATGCTTTAAAAATAGCCATGTCCCGTGGAAAGGAATGAACTGCACAGTCAACTAAGGTGAAATCATGGTGATGAACTTCTGAAAGTTTTTAAAAGCTAGTTTTCTATTAATTGCAATGGTAAGCATACATATTATAACCAACATGAGCATCAAAAGAATCGCCAGCAAGTCTTAAATAAATAATTTGTTTATTAGCCCATTACAGAAATGTCTATATCAAGGATATTCAAATAAAACAAAAGAGAAAATGTATTTCCTTCTTTTTCCTTTGATGAAATTTCCAAGTATAGGAAAATAAGGTAGCACAAGAGAAATCAGTGATTACCAGCATATAAACAAATTTTTTAAAAAGTTAACTAAGAATTCAAGATGATGGGATATCAATATATTTTAATTGAGTTAAAGTATTCCGAAGTTTGTAATATTAAGTGATGAGAATAGCAACTTAAAAAATAAATATTCCATTACAATTTGTCTTTTGAAATACATCTTATTTCATGTTGTTCATGATTAGTCTGAAATTACTCAAAATTAATACATAAAAAATTTTAGTGTTCATGATATGTAACTATTGTGAAGTTAAATATTTAAAAATACTGAAACATTAGGAGATGTAGAAGTAGTACAGTGAGTAGGGCATTTGCCTTGTACTCAGGTGACTGAGTTCAATCCTCAGCATTCCATATGGTCTCCTGAGTTTTCCAGGAGTGATCCGTGAGTTTAGAGCCCTGATCACCACTGATGTGACAAAATAAACAAACAAGCAAAAGACCCTGAAATATTAGAAATATTTTCATTTATTTGTAGAAATAATAAAAGCTATAAAGATATTGAACAGTCTAAGAATGTTAAAACATAATTGAGGCTGCCAAATAGA